GTGCCGGTCGCCACCGTATCCGATGTTAACTCATCGTCGTACACAGCCGTGGTGGAGAGGGTGTGGTTTAGTGATTGAGATATATTTCCTGGTGATCTGTTGATGCTCATGTTGCTGCTCATATTGCCATCGATATAATTTAATGTTCCACCGGACTTTGTGGTGGTGGTGGTGGTGGTGGTCAAAGAACGGACATTCAAATCAAATGGGGTGGAAGTGGCAGGAGCATCATGAACAGAGTCGGAAATATTATATTGAAAAACAATGTAAGACATGAAAGCCGAATCTGATGTGCCACCACTGTTGCTGCTATTGATCTCTTGCTTAGTTGTACTAAATACTGCGGCGGGTGTTGCAATGGGTTCTTGCTCAATTTCTTTGATTGCGGCAGTCGCTGTTGTTGTGGTAGTGGTAGTGGTGGTGGTGGGGACAGCTAGGTACAATATAAACGGCAATAAATAACGGCCGTTTTATTGCAGCTTCTATCAGACGTGCTATAACAATGCACGAGTGTGCTTCTCCTTACCAGTAGCTGCGGTAGTAAAAGCACCGGGGAGATACGGCAGTGGCCGAAGCGTTGGAAACCCGGCTGGAGGAAAGCTGCTGGTGGACCACGGACAGCACGGGGGATATGCGCAACCATTACGTTTATCTACGAATATAAATTACTAATATATATTATCGATAAATTTGAATTCCTAATAAATACCTCGATAATTGTTGGTGCATAAACTTACCTTTGCCACATCGCGGAGCGATAATCTTTAAACCGAGTTTCTCCAAGCATTCCAGCTCGCGGCATTGGTAACCGTCAAAGATTGTGTTGACCAGGAAGATTAGCTGCAGATCCGGGAAGTTATGGGTTGGCGGCCAATTCGGAAGCACATTCACATCCGATCCTGTCATATCCAACATTTTTACACCTCTCATAACGACATGCGGTTGATTATCCAGCGGCCAGGTCATTGCACTGCTACTCGAACACTGCCAGATATTAGACTTGCAGGTGCAGAAGTACGGACAAGCAGTGGCGACGGCGGTGTTGGTAGCGACGATGGGATAATACTGACCGTAAACTACGCTGCAGACAGCAATTACACATATTACAACCACAGCGCTGACTAATTTCAAAATCGCTGCTATCATTATGTATGCACGGTGGTTGGCATTAATTGCTTAAAATTACGGAGAATTATTCTGTTAGCACAGATGAAAAAGACAGCTAACAAATAAGTGGAATATTCTACCCTGGCAAATATAAACCCAACTGCAAAATAAACTGAATACTCCGATAGTCAAATTATGAGATGACTGCGTTAGCTGTCTGCGTTGCATCTTACCTTATCGAGCTTGCTTTCACTCTGTGAGTTGTTATTTCTAACAGAGAAAAAATTATCAGGAGAATTTAGACGATGCCAGTACTGCAGCAAAGCAACAGTCCTACCCAGTGTAGTGCAATGCATTGTTTACGCTTCAGTGCGCTGATAACAGCCATGGGAACGCAAGCCAAATGGCCATTTTCTAATTTTTTCCTAGCATGCAACATTTTTACTTATCACTGCACTGCAGTGTATTGCACAGGAAAATCAAATGAGCGCTGACCAAATAGGAAGTGCAGCCGCGCCAGCAGCTGCGACTTTGCACACGGCCCGCAATCTTCCTCAGACAGCATGCCTGTGTGATCACCAAGCGGCATCAGCAACAGCAGCAGCAGTAGGTCATTCACTTCACAACTTGACACTTCTGCTTGGAGTAGAGTGCAATTGTAGAGTGCAATTAATAATATTAACCCTGAACGGCTAGTACATTGATGAAGAATGATTAATTACGGGCCACTTGCGTTTTGCGTTTTTGTAATTAGCGATCCATTATACGATATACCGTACAGTACAGTAATCACAAATTGCGTTATATCAATACATCCTATGAATGATAAATAAGATTTAATAAGTACTTGCATTTTTGCTTATATTATACAATCGATTTTTGTAATTATTTTTTAATTAATCACTCATGGGTATGCACAGCATAGTCTTACTATTGCATCCAGCAAGTGATGAAGCAAGTACTTATTTAAGTGGCCACAATACTATTAAGTACGATAATTATGACAGTTGGCATTCACACGCACATACATACAACTGGTAAAATTTTAACATACAAAGTGATACGGACTTAGGGCAAGGGCCGACTGGCGAGGTGAGGCCTAGTGGCTAGGGCAGTATCGCCCCCTCTATATTAAGCAGCGCCCTGTGCGTACCCGAGGGGTGGTGCGCCGGGCGCCAGAATGATCACTTATCATCACTTGTGCATGGTGATTTCCGTTTTCAACCGCTATTCCACTGACCATCTACAACAGCAAGAAATTCGGTATGTAAGTAGATCAGGGAAAGTTCTCCTTCTCAGGAAAATTCGGGGAAACGTTTTGAAATTTTGTGCCACCGGGTATTGCGGAAAGAAAACTGAGTTCACACCTATGTACACAAGTCATCTGGCTAGAGTACTCAATGCCAAAAAGCAGTCCAAAAAAGTGTTTAGGAGAGCGCTAAACGAAAGTTCCCATGGATGTACACGAATTTAGTGCTATGTGCCGGGTGATTTTGTTTAGTTAACTTACCAAACAACAATCCTCGACGACCTCAACTTTGTAAATGTCATCAGAAAACCGATCGATCACCCCGTCCAAGTGGCTTTCGACCTGGCCGATTACATCCACAAGCACTTTTGGTGAACTGTTTTGCACGAGTTCCGAGAAACCGCAGAACTGTGTGAATATAACTGATACGCATTTAAAGTTTTGCGCCGGTACGGCAATGCCAGCCCGAATTCTGCTGCCAACCCATCTGTTGACAACATCTATAACGTGAACCAAATAATTATGTCGCTATATCGGTTAATATAAATATTTACCGGGGAAGCAGTTGTGCTACCAGCTCGTTGCATCTGACCATTTCTTCCATTAAACTTTTCGTCCGCAGATTAACTTCGAGCTCCAGTTCGCGCGTGTAATCACTTAACCGATTCTGTACTTTATCGATAAAATTCTTGCTGCCACTGTGTGTCGAGAAAATTTCTGACTTTTCTGCTAATTTCACCCTCAACTGCTTAATCGATGGTCTGTTCATTACGTTGTCCTGCCAGCAAGTATTAAAAATGTGGAGGTATCCATGAACGAATTCCGGGGAAGATTTATTACAATCAGCTATAAGATAACCTCTGAGTCAGTTTATACCAGTGTGATTTCATTTCTATGTATTTATACTGTATGTACCTATGCAGGTGAATTTCTGCGTCGTCAGCAATTCCCAGAGCACTATGCATGTCGCATGAACATCGACTTTCTGATTCCATTCCACGGAAGAAGCTTTTTCCTTCTTCCACAGTTGTCGGCAAAAACCTCTATGGGGATTATTTCCCTGAAAGTTGCAAACGGTTTTCTGCAACCTGGAATTTATTAATCCGCTGATTTTCAACGTCAAGTGCTTGTCGATGTGGCAGTGATAGCCGCACAAACAACCATGGAATTCCAGTGATGCTGTGTGTATGAAGAGGACACCCTGAAAATTTGTTTCAATTTTTAAAACCTACGGATTAGTGAAGTACAGTAACGTACTAAATCTGTACCTGGAGAAAATCGTTGGTCAAAGAACTGATTAATGACCAGTCAAGGCTAATTAGTCCTTCAAAAATGTCGTACAAGCAGCCCCGACCCGGTCGCTCTGTGACAACGCCGATTAATTTGCTACTGCGACTTGCGAGCACGGTAATCCCGTAAAACCGTACAATGTGTAGGTAGCTCAAGGTTCGCAGCTGCAATAGGAAGAAACCGTCACTCTTCGCAGTGAATCCTTACAAATACATCGTGTCGCGTTTTGGTTTTTATCTGTAAGTTATCCTGCAGTTCTAAAAAAATTCACGTAGGTGAACGAAATTACAGCCCTAATTGACAGAGCGCATCAGTAACGTCTTAAACTGCGTTTAGGCAGTGTAAAGCACAAAAAAGTGTACATACTGTGCATGCAGAGCACTGTATATACTGCGTATAAAACTTGTGATACCTTTTCCATATAATGTGAAACTTCCTGAGAGCTTCCAATGCGGTGGATAACATTTCCGTCCATGGCTGTTACGAGTACTATCTCTTCTATAGAAACGTCCTGTCCTTTGAATTTAGCGAAAACGTACTTGCAACCCTAGGTGGAACAGAAACGAGATTAGGCGAGAGCGTAGCCGGTGCACTCATACGTTAAACTGGTCCATTGCGTTTCTCAAAAACGTCCGAATTTCAGTAAAGACACTGTACCTTGTTGCAACTGAAAGCATGCTCTACTCGTGAAACCATAAAAAGGGTTCCGTTGTTAAGCTAACGCATACCAAATGCGGAATCTGGGTTTTTGGTGGCGTAATTTTACTCTCATAAATCGAGTACCGCACAGGAAACTCTAAGTCGAACTCCTTGATTTCCCATGATTTCAGAGCCATGGCGTTCGATCTTTTAAGAAACCTGTAATCACAGTAGAAAAACAAATTCTCAAATCCGGCATTTAGTTCTACAAAGTGTAAGCCGTAATGATTAAATGGTCAAGCAGTCATTTTACGGCAATATATGGTCGACAAAATAACATCTCGACTATTGAATCGCGCATTGCGGTTAAAAAGCATAGACTGTGATAAAACAGCCATAACTAAAAAGCTTACCAAATAACCATAAAAACTCCAACTCCGCAAACAACCAAAACCACAGATACTGCTACCGATGTGACTGAACTTCCTGAGCTTGGATGACAAATTTTGTCCTGCTCACTGTTATAACCACATCTTGGTCCGTTCAGCGGCGGCCATGTACCGTTGCCAGCCCAATGTAGTAGATCATATAACTGAACCATCGGCGGGCTGCCCGCAGCACGCTTGTACAAAAACTTCTGCAATCAATGAAGACCATTAATACTGGTGCATATACTCGTACTTCGTAAAACTGTAATATATATAAGTTATGATTATTATGATTTGCTCTTTAAAAGTTCTATAATTTCAACTGCCTTTTGCGTGCCGTTTTCGTCAAATCTCCAAACATATGAATCGATTTGCCTGTTTCCGTTCTTGTCCATGTAGATTTGGCTGATGTTACAATCGAAGGTACGATTAAAGAACTGTCGGGCCAAATACGCACCATCCTGGTACGGGTGGTCTTCCCCATCAGACCGCAGATCGTTGAAAACCTTTAAGATAAATCAGAGTTTATAGCTGCTGAGAAAGGTCACAATTTATCTTAAACACCTGTTTCTTTTTGTGAACCGATAAGTGGTTTGTAAACAAAATCACTTGCAAAAATTCTAAAAATTTGTCACAAAACTGGGTGGGTTACTCAGATTTTAACGTTTTACTATAAAAGCTTCTAAATTATAGAAGTTATACCCGTACGACCCTGGAGACTGTGGGCTACATATTACAAAATACCGTCGTGCTCGTGGTATTTATAACAAATTGCAAACGTTGGTTGGTAATAGGAGGTGTGAAGATCTCAATTCGGTATCGTTAATTGGTATAGAATAGGACACATTCGAAATACGAGTGCATCTGCAGTTCTTACCTCTGCCACTATAGTCACTGCGTAGTAGCTACTCAGCAAGTGTGGAAAAGGCTAAAAAGAAGAACGGTTTTCTGCTGCTAACTAATTTTTGCTCAATTGACGTTCCCGCTCTTATACCTCGTCTTCAATGCTGTATGAGTAACTGAAATCTCGTTCCGTGTGAGCCATAAATCGGTGTGCCAGGTTACCTCTGGCATTACCCGTCGGGGATTCATAGATGTCTGCTGGCCTCATCACCAGAAGAGACTGGAATGCTTGGAACGCATTCTGCAGAACATCCTTACCACTGTTAGGGTCATCTGTTGTATTATGCCTAAACAAAACTTTAAACGCACCTGATCGTCTTCGTTGTCGTATTTCCAGTGCATTCGCCCATACGCTTTCTCATTAACCATTACTTCCAGCGCCATGTACACCTAATGGTCGTCAAAAGTACACTTCGTCATAAAAGTACACTTCGTCAGTACGAAAGTACACTTTGAACTTTACTCAACTTACGTATTCTCCATTTGTCATGTTCGCTTTGTTTGCCGCTATCTGCAGTTGAAATATGCGGCGCTCGAACATTTGTGGTTTTATGCTTCTCTGGTAAGGTAACAGTGAAAGTACATACCAGGAAGCTCCTCACGACTTGGCCATTGCCGAATAGAATCACAACTGCAATGAAAATAGCATCAGAAGAAATTGTGCGTGCGGAATAATGTGTCTTGCCTCGAGTATGAGTGCGAATGTTTTTCAACAGTGGCTGAAAATCGTATCCATAGGTCAGATTAACTTCGCAAAAGATTGGTCTTTGCCCAACTGCAGCCAGAGAGCTTTCGAACAATTCGTTTGCGAATATTCGATAGATATCTATGGATCCTAAGTCCAGTATGGTCATAAAAGGTATCCAGTTAAACCTAAGCAATATCTCGCAGAAGAGGAGATTCATAGCGGGATAATTGACGCGTCCGACGGAAATCCAAGTAGGATTTGTGGTTCTGTCGTTGATGTCTGGTGTGGTTGTTGAGCTAATAAAGTGAAACACAATACCAGTATCATAAAAAGGCTACTTCGTATGGCAAGTTGAAAGTCGTTAGACTAGGGTACTGGATACACTGAGAAAGACACTGCGCACTGACTTACAGGGTAAGAAACAACAGATTCCATTGATGAAAAACTCCGTGAGCTCGCGTACGATAAGTCCAGCTGTCACAAAGGTATTTAACCTTTTAAAATTTTAACGAAAAAAGTCGTACATATAGGGTTTTACTTACCTACCTGGGATCAGCACAACGTTTATGGTCGATGGGTCTCGCTTACGGTAATACCATTCGGCGGCAAGTCGTTCGGTGATTTCATGCGATATCATTTTGGTCCAAGGCATATCATCGAAAATATATGTCAAAGTAAAATTTAGCGTGTTGTTGTAAAAGGCGTTAACGTCATCGACGGCCACGGTCATTGGGGGACCACAGTATGTCAGTTGCGCAGTAATTGGCACGCGAACGTCCACCAATGGCAATTAATTCAACGGAAAGTTTTTTAGGTAAAGCAGGACCCAAGGACGCTGCACATAACAGCAGCCATAGGTTGAAGAAACTGGACAATAGACTCATTAAGCAGGTTTCACGAACGGCAGGTTTCAGCATTTTAAACAACGCTGGGGTCATTTGCTTGGAGTGTTTTCGTGAAATAAGTAAGTATGCCAATAACTTTTAGGGCTCCAGAAAATTACTTCCTCAGTAGGCAACAATATCCATTCGCGATTTGACTGCTGGACGTTTCTCCGGGTGCGCATCCAAAGGACAATGTTACTGCAATGCAATACTGTTTTCATCGCCTCATGTTTATGAAATATAATATGAAATTTCACCTTCATACAACTATATTTTATAGTTCGTGCAAAAACTGATCCGAATTTTACATTATGTGGGAAAGGCAGTGAAGCGGGAAACGTCTTTGGGATTCGAATGGAGCTGGGTCTGATGACTCTGACGGCATGCATACAGTACAGTGTAACACGAGATTGTCAAGAGTAAGATAGACCAAGTAATGCTCATCAGTAATGTTCAATCAATGTTCAATCTCATCAGTACGCAACCTGATTCCATTAATTCTGAGTATGCACTTCCGTACCTTCCGCTGCGGCTACATATTTTGTATAACCGCCGCAGCCAATCGCGATCTAGGAATACTATCTGCTGCAGGATTACTCCATCCCTGCCCAGGAAATGTCCTCTGTTAGCTTCCTGGACGAGGTGCACCATTAGCTGCTCCCTGCTTAAAATGCTTGATGTATTGAGTTCCGCGAATGTTGTGGTAAACCTACTCGTAACGTTCGAGGTTATTAACAGAACAAGTTTGTGCTGCTCCTTTGCAGACTGGCTTCCGGTGCGTACATGATTAATTTTCTATGAACGTCTTACCCGTTGTTTTTATAAAACCAGGGGACACAAATATAACTTAAAATCGGGTAATAAGGTATAATAATACATACTGTTGCGGTAGAGGCATCTGTCACGATAAACTGATCACTACAGCGGTTATTGATCTGCATCGGATGGCTATGCAATAATATACTGTAACTACAATATAACTGGGTCGGCCTGATAAACACTTACCGCAACTTTGCGGTTCCGGTTTGTCTTTTTCAGTTGCTTTACCTTGCACCTTGTCGCATTAAAACCTTCAGCATCCTAATAATTATCGTACAAATAGCGCGGGAAAAAAAGGATAAGATGTAGAGAACCGCCTTTATAGTTGTCTAAGTGAATTCGGCGAGCGCCTAAGTGAAGTTAAAAGAATCCTTTTTCTGACTTCAAATTCCATACTGTTTTTATGCGGGCAGAGGTTTCAAGGTTACACAAAACTCTTCTGCCACTCCTGTACTCACGGGAGAGCAGACTTTCACATACCCGGTATACTGCTGTAAGTGTGCACATTGAATATGCAGAAGCAAGTGCATACACGATAGTGACGACACCTTCCATTTTAGCACAAGTTGTGTAAAGTATTTCAAAGATTACTATCTACCAGAGCCGCTGTTTAGCGCTTCCGAGTGTTTGCCATTACCCTTACTAGTGGCCAGCTGCACTGCAGGGTTTTAAATTAGAAAAATGGCCTGATAGAGCGTTCCTGCTTTAAGGATTATATGATATGCTCTAAAGTCTTAATATTTTCATAGTAGCTTCCAGGAGTTCCAGCATTCCATAGTCATGCAGGGTAATCCATGTATAATCGGATTCTGCGCGCATCGTTCGGTTAGGGTCAACGAGAAGCGAGTGTGATTTACTAAAATGGGATTCGAAACTAGTTGCTCTGACATGTTTTTTATTCAATTCAACCGGCGGACATATTGCTTATTAAACCAGTTTTCGGGCAGTTGCAACAAAAAGCATTTTTTACGGCAAGCACTGCGCATGCTTTCAGATCACGCAGGATGCGAATCGATTCGTTTCTGCGCCGTCAAATGTGTGGTCAAGTATGTAGGCAAATTATCAAGCATTAAGGAGACAAATATTTTCGACAGGCCTTACAAAAAGATTGTTTAGCCAATAGGTTTTCATGTGCTCCTTCCCCTTGACTGAAATGACTCCTCGGTATTCAATGTCAAACCGATTCGTATCCTCTAGCAGAGTTGCAATGAAATCGCTGATCTGTGTGCGATTCGGCATTCCCGAAGTGCACATCCTGGACGCAGTATTCACCGTATCACCGAATCTGCAAAAAAAAATTAATTAAAACGCAAAATGCTGTTTAGCTCTTGCGGCGATTATACCGCAGAACGTACAGACAGTATCGCAAACGCCGAAATCCGACAATTCCAGCAGCGCAGGAACCTATAAACATCACAGTTTGTTAGACTTGCAAATAATGGGCATGTATCTAGAAATACAGGGCTAAGTCTCTTAACCGGAATGAATTCCTGATTTAAACTGGAGCCACTGGAAATTCGTTTCAACACAAAATGTTGGTGCGGTCTGTAAGATCTTTAGAGCCAGGTTGGCCATCACCTGCACATGACGATCTCCGCTTTCAGCCTTTAATCCACTGACAAGCTAAAAAGTCAAGGAATATCCACAGAATCGGAAAACGTTCTTTAACCGTCTCACTCGTATTCTTCCAATAATTACAAACTACAAAGTAGGATGCGTAATTATTCATAAAAGTATGTGCAAACAATGTTTACACATACTTTTATGAATAATTACGCATCCTAGTTTCTAATTATAATAATTACGCATTCTAATGTTTACTAAACATTAGGAAACATGCCTGTGTACCTAAAACAGCAGTTCTAAACTCTGTGCTTAGACTGTGAAAAGGCATTACCAAGTAACAATCCTCCACGACCTCAACCTTGTAAACATCGTTGGAAAAGAGACCAATCACCCTGTCCATGTGGCTTTCAATCTGGCCGATCGCATCCATCAGTACTTTCGGTGAGCTCCGTTGCACCAGTTCCGAAAAGCCGCATAACTGCGTAAACATGACTGATACGCATTCAAAGTGCTCCGCCGGTACGGTTTTGCCGGCGCGAATCGTGCTGGCAACCCATCTGTTCATAACACTAACATTGTTTAATCAAATTGCCATCTATATTGGTGACTACCAATATTTACTGGGGAAGCAGTTGTGCCACCAAGTCGTTGCATCTGGCCATTTCTTCCATCAAAATTTTCGTCCGCAGATTGACCTCGTACTCCAGTTCGTGTGTGTAATCACTTAGCCGATTCTGCACTTTGTCGATGAAATTCGTACTACCACTGGACGTTGAAAAGATTTCCGACTTTTCTGCTAGTTTTCCCCGCAACTGTTTAATCGATGGTCTTGACATTATGCTGTCCTGCCAACAAATGTTGAAAATGTGCAGATACGCTTGAAGGAATTCTGGACAGGATTTGTGGCATTCATCTACAAGAATATTCTGCAGTTTTGTACTAAAACGATTCCATTATGTTAACGGTACCGATGCTGGTAAATTTCTGCATTGTCAGCAATTCCCAGAGCACTACGCAGACGGCGTAGACATCGACTTTCTGCTTTTGTTCCACGGAAAAGGCGTTCTCTTTCCTCCACAGCTGCCGGCAAATGCCTCCATGAAGGTGGTTTCCGTGAAAGCTGCTAATACTGCTTTCCAACCGGGAGTTAATCAGTCCGCTGATTTTAAGCGTGAAGTGCTTATCAACGTGGCAGTGATAACCGCACAAACAGCCATGGTATTCCAGCGATGTTGCGTGTACGAACTGCACACCCTAAATTTTTCTATGAGCTTTTTAAACGAGCACATTTGCTTAGTATGAAGTGTGTACCAGAAAAAAATCGTTGACTAAAGAGCTGATTAATGACAGGTCAAGGCTAATCAGTCCTTCGAATATGTCGTACAAACATCCCCGTCCAGCACGCTCAGTGATAACGCCAATCAGGTTGCTCCTGCATTTTCCGAGCATAGTGATCCCGTGAAATCGTGCAACATGGGAATGGCTCAAGGTTCGCAACTGCAGATTGAAAAAAACAATTTAGGCATTGAATGTTGTTAATGTTTTTCCAATGCGGTATTGTATTGTATTCCAATTTTTTTTTTACATTTTGGAACCGAAAGATCGCGTCGCCTTTTACTAATGTTTTGTTGCGTTTGCCGTTCTTAGTACTTTTGCAAGCATACTTGGAATCACAGTTCTATCGGTAAGACAAATGAGTACTCCCAGAAATTCTTGAGGAACACTGCGAAGAGCTAGAAAAGTAGGCCCGGTCACCGCCTCCCCCCTTCAGAAAAATTTTATTTCTTGCTTAAAGACAGAGTTGGTACTCGTAATAATAAAAAAAATTAATTTCACCGACAATGGTCCAGCTGCGTGCCCAGAATCACATTTATGTTCGGTATATATTGTCAAGGCACAGTAAGTATTGCGCTTGAAGTAGCTACTATAGCATGTATTCCCAATTTCCCATTAAAACATTTTTGGTGCTGTTTAACGTTTATTTTATCGTACTGCTGAAACACTTGAAAGCTCCTGTTTTGAATTCTTCACTAAACTGGCTTGAAAATGTCAAATTTTATAAAATCAGTGCACTTATTGAACTCTGAAAATTATATCAGCGCCTGCGCGGTGCAGCACACAGAATAATACAGAAACAAGTGCAATCCAATCAAATGGAATACCGGCGAAATTTTCCAAAATTTTTGATTATAAAAGCATAATCAAGCAGTCATTAATAAATTAGTCAAATGGCAAGATTGTAGCGATAACAGGTAAACAGCAGCCGCGCCTCAGAACATAATTTATAAATCAGAAGTACAAGAATATGCAAAGTACAGTACATTGACAAAACATACAGTTTCCATTGAATACTTAAACTGTTTTTGGCCACGCCCATTGGACCATTGGTCCATTATTTTTATATTATTTCCAGTACCAAATCTGTCTTTAAACAAAAAAAGAAAATTTTCTGAGGGGGGAGGCGGTGACCGGGCCCTGGTTAAGGAAATACATGATACTGTACCTTTTCCATAAAATGCAAAAACGCCTTAGTGCTTGCGATGCGGTCGATCAAGCTTCCGTCTGAGTCTACTGTCATCACTTCAATAGTAACGTCGAGTCCTTTGCATCTGGCGGAAATGTATTCGTACTTGCAAGCCGCCTAAGGGAAACAAGCTATGCGCTACAAAAACGGAATAAAATATACAGCTCGTACAGCTTTACTGTCGCAGGGATTCTTAGAAAAACCAAACTTCAGTTGGTTATGTTTTTTCAGTAGGTACGAGTACCGAATAAGAAGCCTGAGATTTGGTTGGCGGAACCCCATCTTCGTAAGCCGAATAGCGTATAGAAAACTCTAGATCGGATTCATTGATTTTCCACCAGGATTTCAACGCCATCGCACTCGATCGTTTGGCAAACCTGCAGTTATAGTACAACAACAAAATTTCATCTTAGCTGCTGAATTACCTGATAAAAAGTGCTGGTCGAAAAGATTTGAAGTTCGCTCACCAAACGGCCAAACAAACTGTAATCGCGCAAATGACCAAAACTCCCGATACCGACAGTGAAGTAACTGAACTTGCTGAAACTGCAACGCTTTCTTGAAAACTTTAAAATACCACAGAATTAAGCTAGTCACGTATTCATTTACCATTTAATCGACAACCGTGCTCACTGTTGTATCCACACTTCGGTGCGTTCAGCGGCGGCCATGTACCGCCACCTGCCCAGAGCGGCAGATCATATAACTGAATCAATGGTGGGTTTCCCGCCGCACGCTTGTATAAAAAAGCCTTCGAAAAGTTTGTTTGGTTACAGATCATTTCCCACAATTAACACTGCCGCTTTTAATGCGAGTTCTTTGTGAGGTATGTGTTACGATTGGGCTTCAACCTTCAAGATATATGCTAACGGGAGCTACCTGCTGCGTGCCGTTTCCAAACTTTCCATCAAATCTCCACATGTATAAATCGACTTGCCTGCTTCCGTTGCTATCCACGTAGATCTGGCTACTGTTACGATCGAAAGTGCGGTTAAGGAACTGTTTTGCCAAATACGCACCATCCTGGTACGGATGATCCTTTCCATCCGACCCCAAATCGTTCATAACCTTTTGAGGAGATCGCAACAAACAATTGCAATGTTTGAGAAAGGTCACAGTAGCATCTGCGTACCTTATGACTCAAATGCTATGTTGTTTCACTTTAAGCTTGAAATAGTCGTACGGTTGAAAGCTCTTACCTCTGCCAGTATCGTCACTGCATAATAGCTGCTCAGCATTTGTGGAAAAGGCTGAAAAGATCTATGTGTTTACAAGAATTTCAGAGCCAACACCACCTCCCTATTGTGCGCGCTTTGACCGACATCCTGACTAGACTTTAAAAGAGCGGTCGATCACTGTGTGCTTGGGCATGATTTGTCCTTGCCCAATCGTCGTGGAGTCCTTTTTCATTTCATTGAAGTAGATCCGATAAATTTCTTCGGATCCTACATCCCATACGACCATAAAAGTTGTCCAGTCAAACCGCTGCAATATCTCGCAGAAGAGTAAAGTCATTGCGGGATAATTAATCCGTGCGGTTGAAATCCAAGTTGGATTGGTTGTTCTATCATTTATTTCGGGAGTGGTTGTGGTACTAATAATGTGAAACACAAAATAAGCATCATCAAAATACACAACATTTGAGCAACAAGCAATTTCAAAGTCGAGCAGTTTATATGTGCATAATTAAACTTGAAAGGGTTTGAAAATCAAAAAGGGTGTGGTAAGGACTTACGTAGTGATAAACAGAAGATTCCACTGCCGAAAAAACTCTGAGATCGGGCAAAATGATTCCCGCTGTCATGATACATCAAAATGATTCAATCTTGTAAAAAAAAGAGATTGGAAAATGACCTTTTCAATATTTATTGAGACACCAACCCGGGAGTAGCACAGCGTTTATGGCCGATGGGTCGCGTTTACGGTAATACCAGTCCGCGGCCATCCGCCCGGTGAATTCGTGCGTGATCATCCTGGTCCATGGCATATCATCGAAAAGATATTTCAAAGTAAAGTTTAGCGTGTCATTGTACAAGGCGTTTACATCATCGACGGCCACTGTCATTGCCGGGCCACAATACGTCAGCTGTGCATAATTGATTCGCGATTGTCCACCAATGGCGATCAGTTCAATGGGCAGTTTTCCAGCGAGGGTCACATTCATGGCCACAGCAAGAATTATTGTCGCTGATAACAGTAGCCATATACCGGAACGCAGGTAACGGAAAGTGCTCGCTGTTTTACGCATGCCAGGTTCTGGCATTTTCCTAAGAAAAGGTCGACGAAAATTAACAAATGTGCAAATGAGATTACGCAAGGAATTCCATAAATGCAGTATACTCGGTCTCCCGGAGCGTATTTGCGAATTATCGATTTGCGAATTAGCTTCGGAGCGTCCTGCAGGCACCCTTCGAAAGGACGAGCCAAATCTCTTAAGCGGTCGGTTCAACCTTAAGATTTATTAATCATTTTCATGGAAAACATCAGCTCGTATACAGGATAATCCGTCACTCTACCTACGTTAGGTGCATTTACATGATCCGAATGGGGCTGCTTCAATCTTTTCGCGTTTTCTTCGGTAAAAGAATAGTCAAACAAACATAAGGGAGTTCCTACCGGTGAGTAACATGAATGCACCGCAGCATCAACAATCTATGCGATCGAATGATAGAGTAAATTTCTCCGTCGATGGGAAAGGTTAATGATTAGCTAGTTACAGTGACCAGGATGGCATACAGCAACATCACACATTATGACTAAAAAAGGGTTAGCAGAGCCATTTATCACTCTGACGGCCAACCGTGGCAGTTGGCAACATGCTACAATTTTTGCGTATTCACTTCGCTTTTTTTCACTCGGGTGTCAGTATACCCTGAGTAGCACGGCGTAATTAATTGTGAGCAGCGCGGAACTTCCTTCAAACCGGTAATGATGTAATTGAGCCACGAAAATATGATATGTACTGTTCTAAAGATATTGTGGTAAGACACTGCGCATTTTACCGGCGGTACAAATTTAATTACCTACACCCAACCGCACCATCAGTTTAATTTCCAATGACAGTGCGGTGTGAAAATGTGATTTCTACTTGTTATTAATAAAAGGACATGCATGCAATAGCGAACGCATCCAGTATACAGAGTAGTGACATTCAGTTACCGTATTTGCAAACCTAACATCAGTGCGATTCACTTAAAAAAATTAAAAAAAAAGAACGGATAATAATATTTTTGTCCTGTACTTATTCGACCATACTTCAAGAAGCATTTTGTCTACATTTACGTCAAACAGAATGCGTTCACATTAAGCACTAAATAACTAACGGATTTCAGGGTTATGGGTTCGGCTCGTCTCTGCGCTGCCAAAGCTCAGACGAATATGGGCTTCGACAAACTCTTGTTTTATCCTTCCGTGAAAAGGAAGCTCATAGGTAACCAATGTTAACAGTACTACATGGGCATCCTTCCTCTGATTGTTTTTACGCTTTTACAAAGAAACCATTCAGCCAATAGGTTTTCATGTGCTCTTTGCCCTTGACAGAAGTGATTCCTCGATATTCAATATCGAACCGGCTAGTTTCCTGGAGCAGAGCTGCAGTGAAGTGGCTGACCTGGGTGCGATTCGGCGTTCCAGGAGTGCACATTCTGGACGCAGTATTTACCGTGTCACCAAATCTACAAAGAATTTAAAGATAGAGCGTCACATGACGTTTTTTCTGTTTTTCCGCTCTTGCAACGGTGACACCGCAGTACGAGTACAGAGTACAATGTTCATACAGGCAGTATCGTAGACGACGGAACCCGACAACCCCGGCAGCGCAAGGACCTGAAAGGATTTTGAAACTTGATACACTACATTTTTACGCATGTCAAAATGCATTTAAATTCATGCCAAAACTATGGAGAATGTCTTCAAACCGGAATGAATTCCCGATTTCAACTGTAGCCACTGTAGATTCGGCTGAGCACAGAGTGTTGGTGCGGTTTGCAAAATCATTACTGCCAGGTCGGCCGTGACCTGTACATGGCGATTGCCGTTTTCAACTACCAATCCACTGGCCATCTAAAACAATAAGGAATACCTAAAAGATTCTGGAAGTTTTCCCTCTGCCTTACACCAAACAATCTTCGCATTACGGCACCGAGAACAGAAGATAACAAGTCCATGTGATATTCTGCAGTCCTAAACTGTGGTCAATAGGGATCCAAATGTTTTGAGTGACCTTACCAGATAGCAATCTTCAACGACCTCAACCTTGTAAATGTCATCAGAAAAGAGACTGATCACCCGGTCCATGTGGCTTTCGACCTGATCAATCATGTCCATCAGTACTTTTGGTGAACTCTTCTGCATTAGTTGCGAGAAGCCGCACAACTGCGTAAACATAACCGATACGCATTCAAAATGCTCCGCCGGCACTGTATTACCGGCTCGTATCATACTAGCAACCCATCTGTTAACAAAATTAACAATGTAAACCAAATTGGCGCCGGTATTGGTTAATATGAGCATTTACCGGGGAAACAGTTGCGCCACCAACTCATTGCATTTAGCCATTTCTTCCATTAAATTTTTCGTACGCAAATTGACCTCGTACTCCAGTTCGCGTGTATAATCACTTAGCCGGTTCTGAACTTTATCGATAAAATTCGCACTACCATTGGGTGTTGAAAATATTTCCGATGTTTCTGCTAACTTTCCTCTCAACTGTTTGATCGATGGTCGGGACATTACGCTGTCTTGCCAACAAATGTTAAAAATATGGAGAGATCCATGGAGAAATTCAGGGCAAGATTGGTTACAATCATCTGCAAAAGTACTCTGCTTTTATTACGTTTGCACAATTCCTCACCAATGCTTATGCATAAAATAAGGTCAACGCTTCTGCAGCCTACAGATACTCGTAACTTACATGACTACATTAAAACTTTACAGTATACCAATGCATGTAAATTTTTGCGTTGTCAGCAATTCCCACAGCACCACGCAGGTTGCGTACACATCGCCTTTCTGGTTCCATTCGATAGAAGAAACTTCTTCCTTCTTCCACAAGTGTCGACAAAAGCCTGTATGGATGTAGCTTTCCTGAAAGCTGCATATACTATTCTGCAGCCTGGAGTTAATCAGTCCGCTGATTTTTAACGTGAAATGCTTGTCAACGTGGCAATGATAGCCGCACAAGCAGCCATGATATTCCAGAGATGTTGAGTGTATGCACATTACACCCTGAAAAAGTCTTCTTTAATTTTCAGAACATTTGATTTCTGAAGTATTGAGGTTGTAATGTATACCTGAAGAAAATCGTTGACTAATGAACTAATTAATGTCATGTCAAGGCTAATTAGTCCCTTGAATACGTCGTACAAACATCCTCGTCCAGCTCGATCTGTGATAACGCCGATCTGGCTGCTCCTGCTATTTCCGAGCATGGTAATTCCGTAAAATCGTGCAACGTGTGGATGGTTAAAGGTTCGCAACTACAAATTGAAGAAACTATCATTGTGCGCCTGCGCTCCGTAATAATAATATCTTCGCTCATCATGCACTGCTTGAGCGATTTCAGTAAATGAGCGTCTTCGAAGTAAACTGCTACAATTACATATTCTGCCATGTCGATCACGTGAGCAAATCTACTCTGTATTGTACTGATTACCTTTATTTTATTTTAAACATTTTTTTACGAAAATACTTCCAGTGCTTTTGGTTTTGCGCAGACATTGACACTATTAAGTCGTAATATACAGTAGTCACTCCAAATGTACCAGTACAGAATGCGCGAGTTTCTATTAAGTAAGTACCTTTTCCATATAATGCAAAACGTTTCGCGTGCTTGCAATGTGGTCAATAACATTTCCGTCCATGGCTACAGCCAACTCTTCAATCGTAACGTCGAGTCCTTTTAATTTGGCGGAAACGTACTTGCAAGCCTGATCGAAGGAAGAATGATGCTAAACGAGAACTGTAACTGTCGAATTTCGAACGCAGGCTGTGTTTTGCGGTCAAAACGTTCTGCTCTCACGAAAAATGTAATTGCCTGTTGAGTTATTTAGGACGTACCGTATCTTGAGCCTGAGGCTTGGGTGCCGTAAACCTACTATCATAACCCGAACAGCGCGTAGGAAACTCTATTTTGGACTGATCAATTCTCCACCAGACGGTCAGCGCCATGGAGTTCGATCGTTTGACAAACCTGCGGTTGAGGCACAACGACAGAGTGACTCAGCAACTGCAGTAGTTTTACGGTACGTATCACAATCTGTGCTAAATTCAAGTCAAATGGGTTCGAGTAAGCTTACCAAATGGCTATGCACACCGTAACCACACAGACGACCAAAGCCCCCGATACTGCTAACGAAGTAACCGAAGTCCCTGAAACAGCACTGCCCCTTTGAAAATTTGGAATACCGCAAAGTAGGTCAGTCGTGTACCGTTTGGATAACAGATTTTACCAGGCTCCGTGTTGTAGCCACATTTTGGTTCGTTCAACGGCGGCCATGTACCGTTGCCTGCCCAGTACCGCAGATCATACAACTGCACCAAGGGTGGGTTGCCGATCGCACGTTTACATAAAAATGCCTGCGAGAAATTAAGACCAATAATTTAGATGGGTGCAAGGTGTATCTAGTCAGACCTGCATCATTATGATGACTGAGCTTATGAAAGGGTTTTCTCTGAAGCCTGCAACTACCTTTTGCGTGCCGTTTTCATCAAACCTCCACATATATAGATCGATATGCCTGCTTCCGTTGGCATCCATGTAGATCTCGCTGATGTTACGATCGAAAGTGCGGTTTAGGAACTGTTTTGCCAAATACGAACCATCGTGATAAGGGTGTTCGCAACCATCAGACCGCAAATCATTCATGACCTTTGAAGGAGAGCATAGCATCATCATTAACATGCACAGGGACCGTATTGGCCTTATATGTCAGGGATGCTGACGCTTCTGAAGCCTGTTCTCTGTTACGAAGTAATACAGTACAGCAACAGCTGAGAAAAATCACTGTTAAATTTGCAGTTTTAAATTAAATTTACTTTACCAGTTCTAAATTGGACAAAGATTACGCTTAAAAGCATTTACCTCTGCCAGTATCCTCACTGCATAGTAGCTGCTCAGCATCAGCGGGAAAGGCTGAAGAGATCGAGAAGCATTTTCTGCTGTTAATCATGCTAGTTAATGATGCTAATTTTTGCCTAGTTAGTACTGCCCAAACCAAATCAAGTACGCTATTAACTTTCTAAAAATTAATGCCCATTTATACTTCGTCTTCAATGCTGTAGGTGTAGCTGAAGTCACGTTCTGTATGAGCCATAAATCGTTGTGCCAGGTCGCTTCTAGCTCTGGGAGATTCATGAATGTCAGCAGGTCTCATCAGCAGAAGAGACTGGAACGCTTGGAATGCAATCTGCAAGATTTCTGGGATCTTTCGTTGTTTAATGACTAAGCAATTTGTTTTGCGCACTTGATCGTTTTCATCTTCGTACTTCCAGTGCATACGTCCATACGCTTTTTTATTGATCATTATTTCCAGCGCCATGTAGACCTGTAAAGTAACAAAAAAACGAACAAATGTGCTCATGGTTTATTCTGAATTCTCGTTCCGCTTACGTATTCTCCATTCGTCATATTCGCTTTTTGCGCCGCTACCTGCAATTATCTTTTGAGTTGACTTTCTTTCAAATATTGTGCATTTATTGCCTAAATACAAGGTACCAAAAAGCTCCTCACGGCTTGACCATTTCCAAAGAAAATTACAACTGCAATAAAAATAGCATCTGAAGAAATTATGTCAGTGGCCGCGAGATATTTTACTTGCCTCGAGTTTGGGTGCGAATGCTTTTCAACAAGTGCTCAAAATTGTACCCCGCAGTCACGTTAATATTTTCTCGAAGGATTGGTCCTTGTCCAATTGTAGCGAGGGAGTCTTTATTCATTTCGTCAGAGTATACCCGATAAATCTCTTCGGATCCAAAGTCCAGAATGGTCATGAAGGTCACCCAGTTAAATCTAAGCAGTATCTCGCAGAAGAGTAGCGTCATAGCGGGGTAATTAGTGCGTGCGACGGAAATCCAAGTTGGATTTGCAGTTCTGTCATTAATTTGTGGCGTGGTAGATGTGCTAATAAAAATAAAGCGCAAAGTGGGTGGATCAGATTTCTGGTGCACACGCAAAAAAAAGTATTTATTGTACGCATATATTTTTGTATGTGTACTATCATAAGCTCGTTTTTGCTGTAATAATATTTTCATGATAAGAATGAGGTTGCAGCACTTACATAGTGACAAACAGCATGTTCCACTGGCGGAAAAACTCAGTGAGATCAGGTAAAATGATTCCCGCTGTCATAAACATACGCTCGTATTTAACCTTACAGCGTTATTTTACGAAATAAGACTGCGTTTACGTTCTAAGGTACCAACCGGGTATCATCATAACATTTATGGCCGATGGGTCGCGTTTCCGGTAGTACCATTCAGCAGCCAATCGTCCGGTGAATTCGTGCGATATCATTTTAGTCCATGGCATGTCGTCAAAAATATATTTCAACGTGAAGTTTAACGTGTCATTGTACAATATGTCTATGTCATCGACGGCAACTGTCATTGGCGGGCCGCTGTACGTCAACTGCGCGTAACTATTGGTGTGCAATTGTCCACCAATGGCGATCAATTGTACTGGCAGTTTTTTAGCCATAGTAAGATGATGACTTAGATCCGTGATTGCAATTGATAATGCAAGCCACATGCAGAGACGCAGGTAACGAAAACTCAGCCAGCGGGTTCTATAAACGGCAAATTTTGGCATTTTCCTAAGAAAATACCAATGTTCTAAACGAGTATTATGTTTTTATGTAATCCGCCAGCGTGCAAATAAGGTTAAGCAGGCAATCGCTTATGCTTGAATATATATTTTGTGGCCTTTCGGTGAATAATATCGATTTGCGATTTGACTGCAGGACGTTTCTCGGGCGCTTATCCAAAGGATAATACTTGTTGTAGCAATGGAAAATCGCTTGAGGCCGGTAAACACCTATCAATTATTACTCATTTTTGAGATAATAAGCTCATGCGGAGGCCGATCTGTTACATTATTAATCTTTAAAGCATTGGCGGGATAAGGATTAATGTGAGTGACGTTTGGTACTTGAATCTTCAACCATTTTCCGTGATCCAGTATTCCGGAATATTTCCACAAAATAAAAGGAAACTTTATACAGGTAATTACAGCACAGCATGGAGAAGTCTGTTGTCGATGGTCGAAGAGACTACTCATCTAAATTTGCCGCCGGCGGCACTGTTAATGACTATCTGTGTTCTGTGTTTAATGACTACGGCGGCATATCTATACGGTGTCACATAATATCAACAATATTAGGAATAATCAGAGCAAACTGTCCGTCCAACTTTGGCAATCGGCAACGTGATTCCATTAATTTTGCATATTCACTTCCGCTTTTCTGCCGAGTATCTGTGAACTGTATAATCTAGACGGACATAATTAATTGTGATTTGAGACACATCGTGACATATTAGGTTGTCCGGGATAATTTTATTACAGTCATTTCAAGAAATGTTTCTACATGAGCCGACCGGACGAAGGTGTAGTATTACAAGCTGTAATTATTTGTTGTCACTGAGTGGCTCGAAATTTGTTCTAAACCAGTGGTAGTGTAAATAAACCACTATACCGTACATGCGCAAAATATGTACTGCTTCAAAACGTATTGTGTTAGTATGCTGCGCATTTACCAGTGGTGCAAAATTTACTTAGATAAATACATACAATCACACCTTCTGTTCCGTTTCCGATGACAGCGTTTTAACTTGCTGCTAATTTAAGGGTACATATGCAATAGCAAACGTATCCGGCATGGAAACTTTTATTACTAGCAAAACTAAAAACAATGTGAGTGACTTGACAACATAATATCACAGGTCTAAAATAATAAAATTGAAAGCTAACGACAAATAATATTTTCGTGAATCTGTAACAAGACTCAACCACAGTGCTTAACTGGTTTTTAGCAAGCTTAGAACAGTAGCTAAAGATCTTACTCAGTCTTTAGAATATCAAGCAGTAAGTTTAAACTTTTAGTATCGCTACACAGCATATATTTTTCACAATCTGCCGCCATACTGGCAACGCAAATAGTAACAACAGTGGATCAGCCACAGATTGGCAATTAAACAGTACAATCAGAATCTCCTGCGTTTCCAGATCGTAGTAATTAAACACTCTCTGGAAAGTGAAATATATCACGTACGGTCCCCAGCAAACAATAATACTTCCCGCCAAAACGCTTAGCAAGATGAAAATCTGCTTATCGGAGCTGGCACGGGCCATGCGCAGTTGCTCTACCACGTCACTGGTCGCGGATGTCGGTCGGATAAATTTATTTTTCCGCCAGGAAAATCTTGCTCGCCTTTTGCAGATAATAACTGGTAAGGATAGCGATGTAATCAACAGGCACACCATCAGCATAACTTGCCGGATAATTTCCGATACCTTTTCCGACACGGAATCCGCGGTTTTGCTCATCAGACAACGATGGATCTCCTTGGGGCGGCGTGAGAAAATATCCACAATAACACCGGGCATGCCGATAACATGACACAACAACCACACCGTGACGGTGGCGTAGCGCGCTGATTTATGGCTGTGAAAATGGCGGAAGGAAACCGGTGCCGTTAATGCCCACACGCGGTTTAGAGCAATAAAGGAATGAGTGACCATTTGCACTAATGAGAAGACAAAAACACCGTAAACATACAAAAGACAGCCGCCCACGCCGACATACCAATGACTGTATGTTTCATAAATAAAAGTGAACGGGCCAACAATTCCATGGAAGATAATGTTCGATATAAGGAGGCTTGTGAAATAAATGTCAAAGGGAGTGATACTGTTCCATCGGGCAAAAAACACTGACAATAAAGCACTGTTGAATATGAAGGAAAGCGCTGAAAGTGCAGTAGTGATAGCGGAGAATTCAGCTTTCAGGCTGGCCGAGAAGTCTGTGTGGCTCTGATTGGCCAGGGACGCATTGAAGACATTTGTAATAACGCTGGCATGAGCGGTCATAACTGAGTTTAGAACGCCTGAGTTCTTTATCCTGAGTTCCTTAATAAATAACACCAATCTTTTTCTGTATTCCGTAAGTGCAAATGCGTATTAATCAATGTAAATTAACTGAAGAGAAGCCTTATTTAAAAATAGGTACAAATAGACGGTTACAAATAGACGCTCTTTAGTTTGCTGGACGCACCGTACGGCTCCGATCTGCCTAATACATAATTCAAAGGTGCAGGTTTACTGTAATTAAAAGTTAAATATTTAATCCCCTGCGTTCAGGGAAACTACCGTGTTAAGCCAGCTAATCGTTATCGGCTGTTTGTTTACTGAAGGCTGGCTCAACAAGCAACCCTGGTAAAACTTGCTTCGGAAAGTTCAGTAACTGAAGTTAGTGACGCAGGACCGCGGCTGAAATTGCCGCCGGATGTTTGTTGTTACAAATCCAGTTTATTCAAAACGAACATAAACCGTACAATAGTTGTACATAGTAAGTTACACGAGTTATTCGTTCTAAAACTAGGTTAAAAAAAGGGCAGCTAGCAGGGAGAAAGGAAATACCTATCCGAAATGTACAGCTTTGCATGCCCATGTAATTAAGTATGTAACGACCTTTTCGTATGCTGATTAAACACATCTTCTTTGTTTCTTCGTTACGCAGGTTCCTTCGTTTTACGCAGGGTATATGAAACTGTACCCGTTCAAGTCAGCAACTGTACCCGTTCAAGTCAGCATTCCCAGAAGCTATAGGTACAGTTTCAAGGCCTCCGTCATAAAAATTACTGCGCAAAAACAACGTATTATCGTAAATCACTGGCACTGACACCAACTCAATCAATTCTGTTTGCTTTGAAGTATAGTAATTTCGTCGTGCCTCTTGACCGTTGGTTTGTGGCTAAACGCTTACATGCTGCTTTCTCCATAACGTCCGGTACAACTGGACGTTGTCCACCGTACCTACGCCCGTACTACGGTAGATAAAACCACGAATAACATGAAAACCTTTACGTTTTCTCTCTCATCTCGCTCGACTTATCTTCGCTTCGGCATTTTTAATTAATAACTTCAGGGGCTTCACATACGCATTTTGAGACGGCTTTGTACGTCAAACCGCACGAACTTGAGCACCCCCTCTGCAAAGCGAGTGCTCCGCCCCGCTATACCGACGTATCTGAGAGGCCAACAACCAGTGGCAATCCCAGTACAGTACCTCTGCCAATACCAGCACCACTTCGTGTGCCACTAGCAGTACTGCATTACCAATTTACCAGCAATAGTAACATTAACTAGAATTACCACCAGAAATTACAGTTTTTAATACAATGCCAGAAGTCTGTATGTTGTAGGCAGACCAAGGTTCTCACTCGTTTATTAATACTGCATAAGAGATACGGAAGCAGTAACCACTAGGGGATTTCTAGGGATATCTGAGGGGATCGCCAGGAAACATACTTACAGGACAATAAGACTTATACGACAAAATGGCGGCTGATCCTTCTTGCAACTGCAGTGTTACTGTGGGCAGGGGATAAAGGTGGCACTGGCACCTGCCACTGGCAACTGCCACTGGCAGTGGCAGTTGCCACTACGCGTTCTGGCAAGCGATAAAACGTGGAAACTGGCAACTGCCTACTGCCTACATATGGCTACACATTAATCGCTGCCACTACCTTTCCAATTCCATTGATGGCTGCAGTTTGAGTGTGGCGACATGTCACACTTCCAGTTATCCGGGTGCGATTTCATCGTAATTCCGCCAGTCGACGAAACCATTTCAATACTCCTGCACGTTTGAACTTAAGAACCCCCAGAAAATTACTAAGAGCAGTTTCTAAGAGCGCTCGGAAAATCAGTGCCTGCAGATTGTTCATCCATCATATCTCCGAATACGATGAAAATGCTTTAAAAAACAAAACAGAGAAATGTATATGCCGTCGGCTGCGATATCCGCAGGCACGACAAGGTGCTACCGAACATTGACGGTTCTGAGCATGAGGTGCCTGTTGCGCACCCGGACGATTGGGAGTGTGACATTTTGCCGCACTCAAATTCGACGCGCGACTTTTCGCCGCGAAGACATTTCGTCGCCGGATATTCAGACGCTGGGACACTTCGGTTTGGGACTTTATACTTTGAGACATTTTACCTTTGTGACATTTTGACGCAAGACGTCTGGTCGCGGACAATTCGTCTTGGGACTTTTCAAACGATGCGACTGATTACCGCAAAATAATTAACCGCGCTTAATTCTCACTAGTTTTTTAATTTTTTTAATGTTTGTTCTTATTTTTTCTTAAGTTTCTTAATATTTCTCAGACTTTCTTAGGTTGCCTTATTTCTTCTTAGGTTTTTCAGGTTTCTTGGGTTTCCTAGGTTTCTTTGGTTTCTCAGGTTTCTTTGATTTCTTAGGTTTTAGGTTTTCTTAGGTTGTTCGTTTGGTTTTGATTTCCAGTTTTCTCTTTTCTGACTTTTTAGTCAGCTTAGTAAATCGTTTATCTGATGGGCGAAATGTCGCTTTGTCGAGATGTCCTTGCGACGAAATTTTTTTGCGTCGAAACGGCTATGCGACGGAAAGTCTCACGGCGTAAAGTCCTACCGACGAAATGTCCTGCGAGGAAACGTCGCGAGACGAGATGGCCTTGCGGTGTCTGCGACCAAAAGTCCTGCGACTAGTTGTCCGCGGCGAAATGTCGCGGTGCCGTTTGTTGTCTGACAGGAACTGCCTCCGTTCTTTTTTCCAGGCAGTACTTATTATCTTGCTGTAGCTAGCATGGGGCGGAGTCTAAACTTGAATGCACAGTGCAGTGCAGCGGCCGCCGCCGCCGAGATCAGTGCGACCGCCGTTGTTTCTAAATCGGTCGACGCCGCCGTCACGTCCCGTCCCATTCATAACTGAACAATAAGCGCTTGATTTTCTTTACAACAGCGTTCGACACAACAGTGGCTCTAGTTGAGCCTTTGATTATTTGATTTTAAATTACAGATTCTTAGATTTATACAATTTTTCAATAATTATAAAAGCTTTTTTGAGATGTTGCTTGCACCAGCAACTTCATGTGCTTGAAGCAATCCGCATCCGAGGCATTGTCATGTGCCTTAGCGAAGCACACTACAATTTCGCTGGTTTTCGTATAGTTTATTAAACATATTTGATGTAAGCCGTGTTTATT